TTCAGCGATTTAAATTTGGTGTGTAGTCATAATTTCTTGGAGTTCTGATGAGTTTCAATGATTGCTTGATACCATGAAGTTCAGCTTTGAGAGTCGCTGGATGTTTTAAATGTTCTCAAAGTTCTCTAGAGTTTTAAAGGTTGTCCGAAGATTTCTAAGTTTTGAATGTTCTTGCAGATCCAAGACTCATACATACTTGCGATCGTAGAAATTTGGAAAGTTTGCAGAGATTTGAAATTTTTTAAGCTCCTAGGATTTACTTAGGATGTAACAGCTCCATAAGTTCCTGGAGTTTTGAGTAGTACTGCAAAGTCTCAACCATACACGATGGTATTGACAACACAGCTTTCGTCGCTGTTGCAAAGGCCTCAAATTCCAACAACAATCTGAGTAGGAAATTAACCAGTAATAGACGGTACGGTAGGAGAAAATACGCTCTCGACAACTTAACAGCAGCAACGACAAACCACGCATTTTAGTTTAAGTTCTTTATAAACAGTTGCTACCGCGTCTTCCGCGATGCGCGCTGGCTTAACTCGGTGCATCGTGAAAACTCAAAGTAAACATTAAACATCTTACATAACCGTTCCTACCACGGGGAGCATCAATTCTTGTAAAAAAGCAGACACCGACTTTCCAAGAGAAAATCTATCTGTTTCGCTTTATATGTGCATACTGGAGAATAACTATTGTGTAGAGTTTAAGTAACAAATTCATGTATAAAAGGTTTTGAAGAATAAAGAATCGGAGAGTTGTTCTGATGAGTTGATTATTCGAGGTTTGCTAGGTGCGGACGAGCACAGTTCCAACCTCAGGAAAAAAGACCATCAGAGTTGATTTTTATACAGTAGTCGGAATTACTGTCTTTAATTTCATGAAGAAAAGAAAGACCACGTTAGGTTATAAAGTTGCTCTACGTTGGGCACTTCAGCTGTTACGAAATGAAAATCATCATTTGTCGTTTGTCCTGGAACCTGGTAGAGGTCGTCAACTCCAGGGTAGCCTCGCACACGTTGGCTTTTTCCAGTTGCGGAGGACATCAGGTCGCTAAACGTTCGTGGCTACTGGAAGCGATTCGCTCAGAACCGAGTCCAGTGGAGAAGACTACTTCGCAGAATCAACAAGGCGATTCGTAGCCCATCAAGTATCAAGTAGTATATCAACGCAAAAAGGGGACGCAGAACATGCATTGCATGCATGCTATGCGCTATTTCTATTGTCTTTTGACTATCCTAATGACTTCGCAACGGATGAATAAAAGTTACACAATCTAGAATATTGGAGGTGGTGCTGTTGCTGTTGGCTTGTAATTAATTTTTTAACTTGCTGGACTTTTTGTCGTTTACATTGATCAAAACATTTTGAGATGCAAGAGATAATGGTAATTCCACGATAATTAAGAATGTTAGATTTCGCACCTCATTTGAAAATGGACACCAAATAAAAGCATTTATAAATTACAGGGAATTTTTAATTTTTCAGAAACATTTTAAATAGGCGTTCTAAGGGAAGTGTAGGTTCTTCTGAAAGATTCTTAAAGAATACGGTTGCAACACCGCCAGGTCCTGGTTCTTTAGTAAAACAACTTGTTTGCTTCGTGTTGAGATAGGTTATTGACAGATGTGTTGATAGAAATGTCGGGAATTAATGGGGGTTATTCCGAGAGTCGAAATGACTTTCGTCACTAGTGAAGTGAGAAAAGTCATGTCGTAGTGACGTGACTCTCCATTTGATTTGCACAGAGAGTCACGTCACTACGACGTGACTTTTCACACTTCACTAGTGACAAAAGTCACTTCGACTCTCGGAATAACTCCTAATGCAAAGAAGTCGCAGTCGCGCTTTTCTACGGAAAATGTGGTTTATAGTTTCAGGAAGAAATTTGCAAAGATTTTCTACTTCACTATTACATTCTTTATGAGTTAATGGCTGTGTTGCGTTGGTTGCTTATGTCGTGATTGTTTTGCAAATGTGTGATAGGGGAAATGGCTCTTATGTTGGCCCATCGCTAAAAATCTGTAATTTATCAATTTTATCTAGTTGAACGCGTCATTGGGACGGTACTAGTAGATATTTTTGGTCGCTGTTGAAAATTTAGTCGATTACTGAATTTATGTATGTGCCCAAATTAGGGGCATTTAGGCCGACATTACATCTATTTCCCCAACAAGACGCTTTGCACAAACAGGACGGTAATAGCAATCCGGAGGCGGTAGGTTTGATTCCAAATCAGGTTTAAAAAGTCTTACTGGCCCGAAAATTTCGAATTCCTTCTCGCTGACAAATCCTTCTGACGGTGCTATGGCTGGCATTGAATTTCATGGCGATAGCATAATCCGATAGCCCTGGGTTTGCCCTAACCGTTCTCAACACCTTCAAATGCAGCTTCCGATGCTTAGTTCCACTTCGACGCTTGCTATGATCCTGCCGATCGATAGTAAGCCGCTCACGGAAACGTTTGAGAACACTGCACACAGTCGATTTAGTCAATTTCAACGCTTCGCGATTTTTGAACTTTAGAATTTCTAAGTGGGTGTCCATAATTAATTTTCGGTTCACGGATTCCATCAAGTATAAATTCTTTTAAACAAAATGAATCGTGAGGAAACATTTCAATACAAACTGCGGTCAAAACATTCCACATCAATGGCGCTGATAGTGTAGTGGTAAGCGTGATTACCTCTCACCCCAGCAGGCCTGGGTTCAATCTCAGTCGACACCACCGGGATGTTCTGAGGCACACCACGGCTTCCTTCGGAAGGGAAGTAAACCCGTTGGTCCGCGGTTCATGAGTTGATGGGTCGATAGGTAGGGTCCAGGTGTGAGAGCTCCCTGGCGTCGGTAGCATTGGTGCTCAGCACGGAAAACAAGATCGACGGAAAACAAATCAAGAGAAAAAAAAACATTCCAGGTCCGACCGCTAGGAGCACTGCAGTAAAAAAAAAAACAGTGCGTACAGATATTAAATGACTCAAGCTTTATTGTCAATAATTCACCTTCGCGTCATTATATTGATACGAGTGGGGTTTGCTTTAGATGAAATTATTGTCAATGCTCAATATTTTGAGAACTTCAATTGAGTTTGAAATAGTGAAGCCAAAGCCTCAAATTAAAATCAGAGTCTTAAGTAATTGGCAATGAGGATAACAATTTTCGGACATCAATAAATCACTAAAATACAAAGCAATATGTTAATAGTTTATATGCATAAACATTTTTAAAGTATACACTATTGTAAGTGTTTTTATATTAGATCTTTTGAATTGTACTGCTTCTGTAATTTATGAAATGCTGAAACTCCAAAAACTCAATTCTGGATCGAAAAGGGTTTTAAAAAAATCAACGATATTTCTATAATTTAACAGTCTTAGTTCCGTGCGGTTGGAACATGTTAAAATGCAACAAACACATTTAATCTTCGATTTTTGATTTGTTTTTTTTTTTTCGTTTCCCTTGATTTGTTTTCCGTCGATCTAGTTTTCCGTGTTGACTACCGACGCCAGGAAGGCAGCTTCCACACCTGGACCCTACCTATCGACCCATTTGCTCATAAACCGGGGCCAACGGCTTTACTTCCCTTCCGAAGGAAGGCATGATCAGAGTTATTATGTCTCAGAACATCCCGGCGGCGCCGACTGGGATTGAACCCATGCCTGCTGGGGTGAGAGGCAATCACGTTTACCACTACACCATCCCACTGTTAAATCTTCGATATTTTAACAAGTTTAAAATATTTCCCGAAATCTCGGAAAATTTTGTATAATATCGGAATACCCGAACAAACATGAAATATGAAAATCAAAAAAGAGAAAGAACGAACAATCGATAATTCGAATACACTGTTCAGATGGTTGACCTTTGAAAATTCGCCATCCGAAATTGCATTGAAGATTGTAGTGGTGTAACACAACAAAAAAATGTATACATCATTGGTACTCGCCTTCTACTTCTGTGATGCCACCGCAGTGGTAAGGCCAAGTAGGTCAACTGCATCAGTATCAAAAGTGAGAGTGTTACCCTCCGCTTATGGGTACAAATCCGGACAGCGCGAGTGCTAGTCTGACCAATGAACCACAACTAGCTGTTGCCACAATTGTGATGTGGTGATTATTATTGTTGCTTCTCATAATTTCTTCTTCGGTTCACCCCTTCCGCTACTCTTAGGGGTACGTTTTTATTTTGATACGTGTTTCTCGCAGGCTGAGGAAAATCACAAACTAAAGTGATGCCAGTTTTATGCAGTATGTCAGATGCATAATATGGTCATTCCATGATCATGTTGGCATCCCTTACTCAAGGGGTGTTAAGACCCCAAATGAAACTGAAATTGGGGTCATGTTTGCTTTCGACGGCTCTTGACCGATGAGATAGTGCGTTGTTGACGACGACGAAGACGACGATGTAGACGGAACGAGGCGTTGGTGAATATGCTGGTTATTAAAAGATTGATTAAATGCCTCTTTCAATTTTCTGTCCGTTGTTGGTCGGTGGTGCCTTTTGCACGCGAGTTATTTCATCCAGTCGTTCGTTTTATTTTTCTTCTTGTTGTTGTAGAGATGTGATCATGGTGGGCACATCACATGGTTGAAGAAACTGAAGATGCTGATTTTGGATCGCGAGGCGTGGTAGAGAGAAAACTGTGCGAAACTACAAAGTTTTTTTTTATTCCTTGTGTGAGGATGATGCGAATAGCTTATGGTTAAAAGTGAAAGTTTATGATAATATAATGATGAGCGGTGCAGACTGGTCAAACTACTTGAAGAGTAATTATCAAAAAAGATGATTTTGAGGAGGATGTACGAGATTCACTCTGTCTTCCATCGATTACTCGTAGAACAACGTTATGATTCAATGAAACAAATTTAATATTGCATTAATTAGAATCATTTAGGGACCTACATTAATGTTGGTGAATCGAAAATTAATTCACACTGTATGTAAGTATAGCGTATAAGCATAGTTATTTACTGCTAAAAGTTGATTTTTGTTCTTAAACATACCTCATCACCTTTCATTCATCGCAGTCACATAGTTTCCTGCAAAAAGAGAAAAAAGAAGGGTAAATACTTATTTTAGCTGTCTGTAATGAATGTGAATGTATTGCATACAGGTAAAAAGGCAGATTAAATGTCTAATCGACACTTCTTATCCTTCTTATGCTTTGATTTTAACGCTTCTTTTGCAAACGTTTTGTACGCTCTCAACTTAGAGTTTTAAATACTTCCACAGTTCTTAAATGGCAGCTTTGTATGCCAACCAATGCATAAAAGTGTCGTGTGGTATAAGTATTGTGTGGCAAGTACAATGAAACTCTGTATCCAGGGAAGTCGAGAAAATTTCAAACCTGAAAGATTTCCTCGGCTGGACCGGTAATCGAACCCGCCACCTCCAGCATAGTAATACTGATTCGAGTATCTGAACCTCAATCGACATATCAACTCTACCTAATCCGATAACGGTGAACGCATGTTCCTTTGAGTGTTGACACTAGTTCTCTCTAGTAAATAATCGGTAAAAGATAATGAAAATTTAATTAGATGCAACATGACATTCACCGCAGCCGCCACCACTAGTAGCTACCGCACACATGATAGCTAGATACCTACATATCACATTCGGCCAGTCATCCGCTTCTAACTACCTCAACGCAGACTTGCCTGTGTTTCCTCTTTTGGGCTAGATTTAATTGATTTTACTTGTATGGTCTATTCGGTTTGGTATGAAAAAAAGCGGTGTTAAACATTTTCGCTGGGGTTGTACTTCTCGTCTACATGTATAAACTCGCATGGACATCGGAGAAAATAAAACGATCTTAGGCCTACCACGTTTCGATGTGCGCAACCACCGACTGGTAGTAGAGCTGTATCTGGGATGTATTATTATAATTTTGTTTCTCTAGAGTGGACAACGCTATTGCAAATTAATAAGAGTGGTACAGGAAATACATTTAACCAACTGATGTACAACTCTTGAATACACTTACACTTTAAACACATTTTTTGACATGCGGAACAACAAGTTAACGATCAAACATGCAAAGCAATATGATCAATCTTTCAAACAGGAACATTTGAATTTGGAGCACGTACAGAATGTGAGCTAAATTGCAGCACGCGTTCCGAGTAGACGAGGAAACTGGGACAATCTATCACCAAAAGGTATCATAAGACAGAAATAAACCAGTGCAGAGCATTCTTTGCTAGAAACCCATGTTTATCGTTGCTTTGTTTCTTCCGTAAATGTGTCACATACGATGCGCAGATACATTGTTCGGATACAAGAGGAAAAGTTAACAGCCGTAATGGTTTGAATTGTAGAAAGTAGGGGCCTATTCGCGAAGATACAATGAAAACGTGTGATTTTTTTCTCAACTCGGGTCTGTCATATTTACGACTGGATTCTGTTCATTTATAGAATGTAACTGTAATTTTAGGTGCTGTAGGTAAATTCTGATTATAGTCATGTATTGATCAGCAAGAAAGTAACTTTAACAAACATGTCATGTAAGATTTACATAGTGCTCCAAGACCGACAAAAAATTTATTATCCGAGAAGTACGTTTGATTGAGATGAGAGGATGATCGAAGTAGGCAGCGCTGCGAAAATTACGTGTTTTTGTTTAGCTGCGTCGTTTTCGTTCTAGTGAAAATGTTATAAATTTACAATTTCATTTTTAAAAAGTGTTAATTTGAAATTACAGAAGTGATGTTGACAAGTGCATTAAGTGAAAAATTTCGAATTCTCATCCGTTGCATGTGGTGCCGACTGTTCTAACCTCCGCGTAGTTACGCTCAGCTAAGTTTATTTACCTTTTCGTTCCTCTGTCCTTGATAGGAAATATCCATCTAATTCAAGACGATCATTTCAATACTTACTAAATACGCGTCAATCAAGTATTGCACTACTGCTTGATTGAAAGTTTCAGTACATTATCAATGGTTTATATTTGCATCGATAATGTATTGGAGCGGGGCTTATCATGTGTGAAAATAGCTTCGGAATGCTCGAGTTCTTGGAATGGGCTATTCTAGCTGCGGTAGAGCTGTCACCTTCTAACTACCGGGTTCAAGCTTCTTGCATTCATAAGAAATTATTGCAGGCAGATTTTATCCATAATGCAGGGCTGGTAGCGAGTCACTTTTTAGTGACTTGGCCACTTTTTTCAAGTCAGTCACTAAAAAGTCTCTTTTTTAAAGGCCAAGTCACTAAAGTCACTTTTTCTTGTAATAAGTCACTATTTCCAACTTTTTTTAGCGTGAATTTATTTCAACAAGGATTATTCTTTGCGTTGTGACGTTTAATCGTCTTTCTCTATATACAGGATGTCTACACATATTTCTGGATACTATTACCGGAGTTTTCCAACAAAGTAAGTCCAAGATCTAAAAATATTCAATGTCTTGAAGTTTCGTATTCCAAGTACAAGTTGCAGATATTGAAAATATTCAAAGTGCCAGAATTAAGTAAAAAAATAAATGATGTATTTCAAGTTCGTAATTAACTTTATGAAAGATTAGCGATCTTCATTGCAGTCCCATTAACTTTACAACAATTGTAGGAACTTTGGAGAAGTTCTGAGGAATGGAAGGAAATGCTGAGATTTTCAGTGAAGCTCTATAAACAAACGCAGGAACTTAAGGGATGTTAATACGCTGAAAATATGGGAAACTTACTGGAAGATGTAAGAACCTCAAAGTTGTTCTTTTGGCTTCCGAGACTTTTCAGGAACTTTTATGAAGTTCCTAGAATTTTTAGAGAACTTCACAAGTGTCAAGCGAACTTGAGAAATTTAGAAAACTTTAGGGGTATTGTGCAAATTTTTAAGAAGTTCTAAGCACGACAGAAAAGCTAGATAGATTAAAAATCTATAATCGTAAATTTAGATAAATTCAAGATATTTCCATGATGTGTTGAAAAACAAATCGAGAACCCTTAAGATGTTCTGCGAATTTCAGGGAAGTACTAGGACCTTCAGAGAATTTATGAAAACTTAAGAAATATTACAGAAGTCTCGAGATTTTCAGGGAAGTTTAAAGATGTTTACGGAATTCTATTTATTTCCGAGCAGAACCGAGATCTTCAATAGAACTAAGAGCTTTATGGAAGCTTCGAGGACATCAAGACAGGTCAGCGAATCAAACGGCAGTTCAAATAATTTCAAGGAAATATTAGAAACCTTTAAGAAGTTTCGAGAAACTCAGTGAATTTCCGAAAACTTCAGCTAAGCTCCGAGAGAATTCCTGGAAATTTAATGAACAAACGGAAAACGTGAAAGTATTGTAAGGGTGTTATCATGGAGATTTCAAGAACTTAAAAAAATGCGAAAATTTAGCTAAGTTAATTAGAGAACATCAACGAAGTTCCATTAATAAAAAAAAGTGAGAACTTTTAGCAAGCAACAATATCTTCAAGAAATTCCAGAGATTTAGATATTTTGAGAATTACAGATAATCTTAGATAAGTTTAGGGAAAAGCGAGTGTTAATAATCGTTATAATACTTAAGGAACATTTTCGAAACTTCAAGGTACATTAATTAATTTCAGTAAAGTTGCTGGCTCTTAAAAGATACTGATAAATTCAGGGCAGTCTAGAGAACTTTAAAGAAATTCAGTAATCGTTTAGGCACCAGGAAAGTCTAGACTATTGAAGAAGTTTTAAATTAGTGTCGATAATTTAAGGAAAGTTTTATGAAATTCAGTGAAATTCATAGAACTTTATTAATTATTTCGTTCTTTGTCCATGAAAATTGAGAAAGAACAAAAGTTCCATAAATTTAGAAAAACTTCGGAAACCTCAGAAACCAAAAAAAAAACACATTTATTTTTCTAAATTTATTTCTTATGAAAGATTAATCCACCGTGAATCTTCAATGTTCAAAGTGTGAATGAAAATAATGAGAAAAATTAAATGGTTGTATTTTAAAATTCATTATTTTTTTTTTAATATTCTTCCTAATTTTTTTTTAATTATTTGAGACTTCCAGGTATTTTAAGGAAACATAAAAAATCTTGAGGATTCCCGGTTTTCCAGATTTTTGAAGTTAGTAGATAAAGTGACTAATACCGTGAGTTTGGTTATAAACTTTCTATTGAATCTTTCGTTTTAAACTTTCATATTGTACATAAGTGTTTATGAGATGATAATTGCATTAGTCTAAAACATCAAACATTTATTTGATGCGACTTCTCTTAGGTCAGTTTTAGTCACTATTTTTTACAACTATAAGTCACTATTTGGTCACTTATTTGTTCAACATGGTTACTAAAATCACTATTTCTGAAATCGGTGATCGCTACCAGCACTGATAATGCCACTGCCAGACAGTGGGAGTTAGGCCAAGGCGAATCTTCATTCTAATCTACGATTCCACATACTATTAATAACCTTTTACACATGAGAACCTCCTATCGATCAGAATGAATTGTGCATATGTTAACGATCAACAAACATTTTCAGGCGCAAAGAAGCACTAGGGTCGAGCTGGCCGTCATTCATGATTTTTTATATTTGATTTGATGTTACTGATTTTAATACGGAAGAATTTCACGAAAAGAAGCCGCGTCCGACGGTATGCAAAGTTGTTGAAGTAGACGAAATATATTCTTCCACAAGCCCACCCCATACAAGCTTTGGGATTTAGACAATTGATGTGGCTTGAATGTTTGCAAGATAAAGCAGAAAGTTTCCGATGAACATTGCCGAGTGAACGTCCCACGATTGGAAAAATCTAAACTTGTGTTAAAGTTTAGAATTGTCGATATAGGAAACTTGCACAAAGCAGCACTAGATTCCCCTCCAAACTGGAGGCCACTAGTTGGAGGGCCACAAGAAAGAAGTGGTCTTAAATCCAGTAACTTCAATGCATTGTACCTAAATCACCACGTCGAATAACGTCATCGTCCTATTATGCTGGAAAATGGACCCCCGGCCATGAGCGCGTGAGATATAACCAATTCCGTCAAGAAATTCCATCCTTAGAGAAACCGGGTCCCGATCATGACCTATGGTCTATTAGATCCCTGATATCGACTAGAG